ATGGATGCCCTCCATTTTGAAATGGTGGTAGACAAAAGCATCAGGCTCCACAGATTGATCACCGGGCGGAATTCCCTGGACTTTTTTTGCACCTGAAAAATAGAGCAGAAAAAACCTTGTGTGTCTGGAGCCCACTGTACCATGCCCTTGTCGAACCGGGCCAAAATCTCCGCATATATCAGGGTCTGTTGCTCCCTTGAGGAAATGGGAACTCGCGGAGGACGAACCTGAGTTGGAGGGGAATGAAAATCTATGACATATCCCTGAACAGTCTGAAGAACCCATGCGTCTGAGGACATCTCCCGCCACCTGTCCCTGCAGTGAAACAGTCTGCCCGCATGCAACAGGGGGAAGGGAGAAATGCCAGGAGTTGCTCTCACCTGAAGAGAATCTCGCACGTCCTCTGGCACGATTTCCTCTACTTCTGTCCGACCTCTGGGAGTAAAAGGGCGGGACTGGTAGGAGGGGAAGAACGATGGTCCATGGGATCCTCGATGCCCAGAAGGCCAGAAGTGGCTGGAGACACAACCCCGCTGTTGTCCAGCCCTGCCAAAAACCTGTGAAGCCTGTGGGCAAAAAAACCCTCTTTATGGAGGTCTGAGACTTGTCCAGGGAAGTGAATATGTTCACATGTTTGTGCAGTTCCTTTATGAATGGTTCCCCGAACAGAAGACCTTTAGCCAGGGGTCCCAATTTCTTTGACCCCAAATCCAACAACTTGCTGTCCCTCCTTAAAAGGACCACCATCCTTCATTCCATGGAGAGCGCCACGTTCCTACTGCCTAGCAGGCAAAGCCCAGTCCCGCGTGGTGGCTGGGTCCAGGGTAGCCCCTTTTGAGTAGGCCTCATCCACCAACATAAGCATCCTGTATAAGAGACCCAGCATGTCCAGCAGTTTGTCCTGTGCCAAACGGAGACTGCGCTCAACCCCTTTCTTGGGATCACATCCAGTACGGGTCATGTTGTAGAAAGCAGGGAATCAAATTCTGGGGTCATGGCACTACAGGCCTGGGGCATTCTGCCTGAAGTTTCCTGCAAACCTCCCAAGCCAGAGGTCTGCGGACCCAGTAATGCACCAATTGTGCCAAGTGGTCGGGAAGGGACCTGGGGTGTCGAATGGCCCGAGGGTCGAACAGGGGTTCGTCCGTGGCATCCAGGAAAGTGTCTTCGTCAATAGCCATAGTCCTCAACCTCATGGCGCCATTTAGGATCATCTCCATAGTCCTCGTCCCACTCAACTTCCTCCTCCGAGGGTGACTGGTCAGCCCGTCATTCATCCAGGGAGGCTATAGGTGGGGGGTACAGAGGCCCCCTCCCCCGCACCTGACAAGTGGCAGCGCTTCGCTGGTGTAATACTTCCTATGGATTTGGAGTGGAACTCAACTGCAGAAATTATTAGGAGAAACTTTAAAGGATTATCAAAACAATTTATTAGGATTTAAATAGAACAATTCTTCATTAAGGAATTTTACTTGTAGGTAGATTGCTGAGAACAGTTACTGTAACTTTAAGGATTACAATGTGAAGATAGTTTGATAATTAGAGTTCATGTAGCTTTAAGGAATGCAATATGAAGATATCTTGAGAAGAAAGTTCCTTTAGCTTTAAGGAACATGAGCATGAATTTAATAACTTGTATTTATAAGGAAAGTTCATAGGATGAATCCAAGTAATTAAGTTCATGTATTAAATACAAGTATAACTTCCAATCAATCTCATTAGGAAGGCACTTAAAGAAAGCTGGAGTGCCAAAGAGAGTGGTTATCATCCAACAGTATAACTTGCGTTTAAGATGATGAGCTTTGAGAAGCAAAGTGAATCCTAAGGCAGTCCGAGTCAATTGAAAGGAGATTGGAGATCAGTGGTTACAACAGTCCAGGTTTGGTACACGTAGTCAGTAGAAGGTGAGAGCTTGATTGTAGCCAATCTGATCTAGCAGGATGCTTTCAAAATAATCAAGCACCTTGAATCAGACGTGGTCCCTCTAAGTAGTGTGAGGAAGCCTGTGTCAGAGAAGAGGGCGTGTGATTGGTCTGTGAACCAGGAAGTGTCAGATATCTGAGAATCTGATAGTTAAGTTCTGACAGCTGGAGCCTTGCCTTTCCGGGAGCGTGGTTCATGGCCTTCACCCTTTCAATAGCGCCCCTGTGCCTGTTCTCTCCTAGGAGAGTCTGACTCAGCCGAGTCGTCTGCCATCTGGGAGGACCATCTAGCCCCCACTCCTGTTGTGCTTGAGGGAGGGCTCTAGCCATGGCCTTATCCATGGAGGCGGCCACTGCCGCATTAATCATGGCTTGCAGATTCTGCTCCTGGTTAGATGGTTTCAAGATCAAGGAGTCGTGGGCGATGTGACACCTAAAGGTATAGAGGACAGGTGTCACCAGCAGGTTAAATGGGGCAGCACCCCTAATAGTGGCAGAGGCAAGTTAGGCAGCGCATGCAGGGTCAAAACCAGAGTACGGGGCTGACAGGCCAGGCGTACATAGAGAATGGCACAGGCAGAGTAGGCCAAATCAAGGGGCACAGACAAACCAGGCAAATCAAGGGGCACAGACAAAGCAGGCCAATCCAGAAATTGAGCAGAAATTGAGGTAACCTAGAACCCACAGAAGTTGCAGGAAACAGTGAAGGAAATACTGGCCGGTGTTCTATCAAATTTCCCTACCCCATTAGAAAACCCTACCCTCGTCACTACCGGTGAAGCGAAGCCGCACCGGAAGTGACGTTGGGATGGGGGTGTGCGTCGCCGCGCAGGCGCAAACCACCTAGGTAGGGACTTAACACAGCGAGGAGGCAAAAAAAGGCATAGTGCACACGTGCGGCAAAGTACTCCCGTCGGAGGTACAGCGCGCGTACGCACTTGGGGACAGGGAGCGCTTCACACACACCGCGTAGGGAAATCTGATGGCGATTAAGCCCTGTGAAATCTCCCTACCCCTATACTGCGCACGCGCGGTGGATTGGGTAGGAGGGGCTATCCCACTTGATGATTTTCAAAAATCACCTGACCGTTAGCCTTTGCTGGAGCTTGTCTCATATGCACTGGTTGATTCTTTTTCCTGTGCTTACTGCAAGTTTGCTATTCTATTCTATTCATTTATTCTACTACACTTAACACCCTTTCACCATCCTGTGGGTGTAGTTGTACAAGGATTTCCAGGACACCATTAAGGTAAGAAAATATTTTTTTTATGCGAACCTCAAATTCTGTACTGACACTTACCCTCTACTGGTCTGAACTATTTCCACCCCCCCACCCAAAAAAAAAAAAAATTACCCTCTGCTGGTCTTAACTACATACCCCCCCATTAACCCCTGCTGAGCTGAACTACATACCCACCCAGTTAACCCCTGCTGAGCTGAACTACATACCCCCCCAGTTAACCCCTGCTGGTCTTAACTACATACCCCCAGTTAACCCCTGCTGAGCTGAACTACATACCCCCGTTAACCCCTGCTGAGCTGAACTACATACCCCCCAGTTAACCCCTGCTGAGCTGAACTACATACCACCCCAGTTAACCCCTGCTGGTCTTAACTACATACCCCCCAGTTAACCCCCGCTGAGCTGAACTACATACCTCAAGTAACCCCTGCTGAGCTGAACTACATACCCCCAGTTAACCCCTGCTGAGTTGAACTACATACCCCCACAACCCCTGCTGGTCTTAACTAAGCACACCCCCAGTTAACCCATGCTGAGCTGAACTACATACCCCTCTGCTAACCCCCTGCTGGTCTTAACTACATACCCCCAGTTAACCCCTGCTGAGCTGAACTACATGCCCCCCGCTAACCTCTGCTGAGCTGAACTACATACCCCAGTTAACCCCTGCTGAGCTGAACTACATACCCCCAGCAACCCTGCTGAGCTGAACCATATACCCCAGTTAACCTTACGCTGAGCTGAACTACAACCCCTCCACTCAACCCCGCTGGTCTTAACTACATACCCCCCCGTTAACCCCGCTGAGCTGAACTACATACCCCCCAGCACCCCCTGCTGAGCCAAACTACATACCTCCCTCCGCTAACCCCGCTGAGCTGAACTACATAAAATTTCAGTTAACCCCTGCTGAGTTGAACTACATACCCCTCCGCTAACCCCTGCTGGTCTCAACTACATAATACCCCCAGTTTACCCATGTTGAGCTGAACTACATACTCTCGCTAACCTCCCTGCTGGTCTTAACTACATACCCCCAGTTAACCCCTGCTGGTCTTAACTACATACCCCCAGTTAACCCCTGCTGAGCTGAACTACATACCCCCTCCACTAACCCCTGCTGGTCTTAACTACATACCCCCCCAGTTAACCCCATGCTGGTCTTAACTACATACCCCCTCCGCTAACCCCTGCTGGTCTTAACTACATACCACCCCAGTTAACCCCTGCTGGGCTGAACTATATACCCCCTCCGCTAACCCCTGCTGGGCTGAACTATATACTCCATTGTCTGCGCTTATCATGCCTTTCTGCAGGATTTAACTTTAGTATGATCACCTGTATATATGTTTGCCAACGACCAGAGGTGTCTTACCATCCTCCCTGAAATTGACTAGATTGCTTAGAGTGATGGAAAAGGGAGCCCTCTTATCCGTTCCAGACATCCAGTCACTCACTAGGTGTGGTGTTGTGACTGTAATAAGAGTTCATAATTTTGTCCTTATATTGTCTCCTTACAGGATTCGCCTTTCATTCAGTCCCTCACCTCGCCTATTGTGTGGTCTTAGACTTTTCAACGGTGAGTAATTCCAAGATCGTGGCGATACAATTATATTGCATAATTTGTTCCTTATTGTTCCCTTACAGGCACGACATTTGATCCACTCACTTGTCTAGCAGTGTCCGGTCTTATCAGACTACCAGACTGTGAGTAATGCCCATACTGTTGTTACCTTTTGTAAGACTTTAACATTTTATCCTCATAGGCTGTGCAGTCGATTTACTCTGTTAGAGACATTTGTAAAATTATAATTTGTGTTCTATTTTAATAGAAATGGAGACCAAGTACAACGACATCGTCCAATTCCTCTGTTTTGGCGAATACCCACCCGGGTATTCTAAGACACAGAGGCAGACTTTCAGGCAGACATCTGCCAAATTTACTTTAAAGGGTGAGTATCAAAAATACCATCAATATTAGTTGTTTGTAATTAAACAAACCCTCTAATCTTTCTATTTCATTACAGAAGGAGAGGTCTTCGTTGGAAGAAGAAGAGTTATTAAAAACGAAGAAGAGGCAAGGAGGATCTTCGTAGAGTTTCATGCATCGCCCATTGGAGGACATACAGGCACCAACACAACGCGGTCGGCCATCTCCTCAAGATTCTTCTGGCATGGAATGGCCTCTGATATTGATAAATGGGTACACATTAATTATCTTTGTGTTTTGCTATATTAATAAAAGCTTGTACACAGGTTAACAACTCGTTTCCTACAGGTCCAGGAATGCGATAATTGCCAGAAGTCTGGAAAGCCATTGTCTGCTCCACAGCTGTTACAATGTATTAAGGTAAATATCTACTATAGTATTTCATAACATGTTATTACATTGTTTTATTTAAAAATGTAATATATTTTTTTTAATCACACTAGGTATCTGCTGTCTGGGAGCTTGTTGGGATTGACCTAACAGGTCCCTTCACAGAGACAGTGGATGGCTTTAAGTACATATTGACGGCTACAGATTACTTTTCAAAGTGGGTGGAGGCTTTTCCTCTGAAATCAAAATGTGCTGGTTGTCCCAAGCGTATACTTTCAGACCAGGGTAGAGAATTAATCAATCAAGTATGTGTACTTTCAACATAACATTGTTGTCAATAATATTTATTTTGTAACATGTTGGATTATAAGAAATTATATGTTCCTACTTTCTTCTTTTCTTTTTTTTTTTTCGTTCAAGCTCAACGACCAGATGTGCAGTCTTCTTGGAATCGAAAGAAGCGTGACAGCGGCATATCATCCACAGACCAACGGCCTTGATGAAAAGACTAATCATAACATCAAAAGGCAAGTTTAATTCAAGTTTTGATTTTATTTCTGCTTTTAGTAGAACTTTGCTTCACAGGTTTACTTAAAGGGAATCTCCAGTGCCAGGAAAACAAATCCATTTTCCTGGCACTGCAGACTACTTATGTCCCTCTCTCCCACACCCTATCCCCAGGTCTACTAAAACTCCTTCAGTGACTTACCTGTATCCAGCTCCGATGTCCTTCGGCACTGGTTTTGGCTCTGCCCACTCTCCTCCCCCGCCGACGTCAGCCAACGGGCGCGCGCGCATTACAACTCCTCATAGGAAAGCATTATCCAATGCTTTCCTATGGGGATTTCAGCGACGCTGGAAGTCCTCATGCATTGCGTGAGGACGTCCAGCGTCTCTTAAAACACAAAAAGTGTTTTATCCCCATACAGATCCCAATGACTGGACAACACACCGCATCAGGAGCAGAACTGACCTTTAATCCACACAACCTCCTTATAAAGCATTCTCCCATGCAAGGGAGGGATTCATCATAATTAGGACAGTAACCAATAATGTCACAGTTTCCTCCCCTCAGTGTGACACATAATCCCATTATACATGCTGCAGTTTACCCCAAAACAGTTAGGTACAATGGGCTATGTGGCACCCCCTGGTAGCCCTGATCTGGGTGACGCACATATCCAAAATTCAACCAGATCAGACCAGGGGTTTGGGAGTTATGTGGAAGGGACAATTTGACCGACGAGATGTTAGCCGAAAAGGGTTCCATGTGTTTGGCCCTGCGGTCGGTCTCCGTTCGGGAGGTAAAATACACATAAAAACCTGACATCCACGATTAAAATTGCATTCGCATTAATCCCCTTGTTAGGTACTTTTAAGTCACTGAACGGTGGGCAGATTAGCCTTCGCGTTCTGGATTTACGGAGCCATGGAGGTCTCAGCGGTGTTCGGGTAATTGAGTGTCCGATTTGAATTCCAGACACTCAATGACCAAACACCGCTGCGGTTTTCGTGCGTAAGATGGCTGCCGCCATGTGTTCGTATGCAGAACGGCGGCCACCCAGATACATGCACAAAGTAACAATTAACATGTGGTTAGAGAAGTGTGAAGCCTAATAAGGTGCACACTTCTCTCTGGGGTGGTCTACTGGTCCGGTATTTTTCATTCGTATGGAATACGGATGAAAACTACCGAATAATCATACGAATACTACATACATTCTTAACTATACAGAAGAATAAACACACGAATTGCATTTTTAACACAGTCTTTAAGGACCGCCTTAATACCATCCGCTACATATGTTTTATATTGCTTTTCTATTTTATTCATTGTAGAGCTCTCACTAAATTGGTGAATGAAAATCAAAATAACTGGGACGTTTATTTGGACGCAACATTGTTTTCCATAAGGTCGAAGGTCCAAACCACTACCAAATATTCACCTTTTCTTTTGATGTATGGGAGGGAGGCAGTTTTCCCAGCCGAAGTTCCTGTTGAACTGCCAGTGAGTTGTTGCTGTTTTTTCTGTCTCCACTACAGTTAACTATGTGCGTATAGTATATGTAATAATTGTTTATTATATACAGATCTCACCTCATTCTGCTTGCTTCATTCTACATAAGTTGCACATATGATTATTTTAACATCGGACAGTTATTTGTAACTTAACTATTAGCTGATCAAGTTTGCTGCCATAACCATATTTCAAGATAGTGTGCACAGGTGACTGATCAAAATGTATTTCGTAATTCATAAACATTTTAATCTTGAAAATTATCAGTTCTGTTTTCCACTAATAGCAGTATGACTGTACAACTAAAGGTGGTTTGTTTTTTTGTTGTTGTTTTTTTTAAGCTTTTAAAAATTAACATTATTTAAGTTACTATGTATTTGACATTTTGGTGTGTGTGTGTGTGTGTGTGTAAACATATAAATATATTTTAAAAAATTCCACAGCTTTCGAACATCATCTTTCCGGAGGAGAAGAGTTATGTAACATTTCTAAATGAGAAGAAGGCATCAATGGAGAAAATAAACGAAACGACAAAGGAAAACATAGAAAAATCGCAGGAGAAGCAGAAGACGACGTATGAGAAGAAGGTGTTGAAGAAAAACAAGAATGTGGTGTACAGTGTTGGCGATGAGGTCCTTCTTTATAATATGAGGAAGCGTGGTAGGAAAGGAGGAAGGATAGAGCCGGACTTCTCTGGTCCTTATATTATCAAGGAGTTGTGTGGCAAGGTAGTGACATTGGAGAATTTGTGCGGAGTTACTCTAAAGAAAAAGATCAGCATCGACCACATCAAGCCATACAGGAGAAGTGAGGAAAACAAAGCCCACAGGCAAGGTGATGTCGAATTGCCTAAAGAAATCATCACCTGCGTGTCCTCCATACCACCAACGACCTCTGTCATCTGTTTTGCTGCACTGGAAAAGGAGGTACCACCAAATTTGCTACTTGACTATAATTTATTTTTCTATTGTGCATATAGCGAGCCTTGTTCTTTTTCTTCATCCTATTCTTCATTCATGTAGTATTTTTATTTTAAATGAATGTTAAATGTAAGTGATTAACATTAATCATGATTTTCTTTTCACAAGTCATCTGCATCTTTGATTGTCATGCAAAGCATAGAAGACAGAGGTAGCAGTTACTGTTTTTTTTTTTTTTTGAGCTTGACCCTGTTGGTCATTTGTTTGGCCATGCCCTGTTGGTCTGGTCTTTCACTCTGTTGCCATTCTGGCACTTTTTAATTTATTTTTTGGTACAGTTGCCACTGTTTGGCATCGTGTTATATCCAGTTCTCATTATTAGCCATACATGTTTTATATTATACCAAAGAACCGATACAGGTTGAGTTACCCCCTTGACAGAATTGCCTCTTAACATAAGTGAATTGAATTTAGCAAGCTTAGCATATTGTATTTTTCAAGCAGATTGGATGTTATATTGGGATACTGCTTTATTTGTTAAGTATTGAAACATAAAACAAATTATTAATGTTAAGATAAGGCATACTCAACCTGTATTAGCTTTGGCTCAAGAATGTACAGTTACATACCTGGAGTTAAATGTTCTTGCTCTCTCTCTCTCTCTCTCTCTCTCTCTATATATATATATATATATATATATATATTTTTTTTTTATAGTTAAAATCCTGTGGGAAGCTGAAGATGACGGATCTGTGGAAGCAGTTGTTGGGCCATACAAGCTGTATGTTTCTTCGTTCCGTACACTGCATGGCAATAAGTGGCTGGTTGATGAGGTAAGAAAATAAAGTGTTATTAGTCTAAAGCTAAAATGTAAAAAAAAATATTTTTAATAATTGATTTAGATTTTTATGCAGGTGATTGACGCATACATTCATCATCTGATTCTGAAGCATCAGGCAAATGTGAATTATGTTTATTTCTGGGTTATGTTAGTTGCTTTATTATTTTGCGTTATAATTTTCCATCTATTGAAACAGGAACCTGTTCAACAGTTTGATGCTGTACTGTGATCTGTATTATTTTATGGTGCAATCGAAAATCTTGGAAAGGTTAGTGACTTGTTAGAATTATATTTTTATATATTAAATATATCTATTTATAATTAATTACCGATTTGGCTTTCTACCTTTTTCTTCAGATGAAGTTTCCAGTCGAAGATCTTTGGTTATGCCCTGTAAACGTTGGAGCTCACTGGATTTTATTGGTATTTATTATTAAAATAATTTCCCTTTATTTACTTATGTTGCCATGCACTATTATATTCTATGTCTATTCTATGTAAATATATTTAACTACAATCCTATGACACCACAATGCTCATTTGCTCTATATAGTGTTGGCAGAAAGTAGGTGGTATACAGTAGAATTATATATTAGTGCCATACTGTATGAAATGGTTAACAAATATTCCGTATATTATTGCTAGAAGGCATATTGATAGAAGGCTTAAAACTCATAAGTGGAGGTGATCTCCGATCTTCTCATTCCGATATCCCAATAAAATTGATGTGAAGCGAGGGCAAAAAAGATACATAGAGTAGATCCTTATGGTAAAGAGAACATTTATTTTAAAACTTACAATCATTTAAAAAATACAGGCAAGAATCCACCATGGAAAAATCAGGCTGGAACTGTAATTGTTAAAAAAATTAAAACAATAACTCAATATACATTCCTAGGCGTTTCGTCCAGTCATATGGACTTCATCAGGGACAATGACAAACAATCAGTTATATAATCAGTTTAGTGATGATCACTGATATTTAAATGACAATTTCTTCTGTTGTGACGTTCATTGATCACAATGTATATTTACTTTTTGGTCCACCTGGTATATTTCAAATATTAATGGAATCAACAATATATTTTTTAGGTTGTCATCATGTCCAAGAAGGTCGTTGTGCTAATGGATCCAATGGCAAATGAAAACTGCTATGTTTCAAAAGTGCAACACAACTTGCAGTAAGGGTGCCTCCGAAAACCATTTTAACTTCACATAAGCTTTAATAAACTAAGTGATTCCATTTATTTTATTTTTAAATCTGTTACTTTTGTCATAGTATCTTCTTGCGGATGTACAAGCCGGATGAACAGCCAGATCAATGGAAAACATGGATAATGTACCACAACAACCAGCAGGATTCCACTAGCTGTGGAGTTTTAATCTTGATGGTAAAAAGTTTTCTAACATAGTAAAAGCCACTCATAACAAATGCGATCTGCAGTTACAAATGTGAATTATTTTACAGTTTGCCAAGGAGTTCCTACGGACACGAACAATCAGTGAAGTGAAGACCTCTCCAGAATATATAAGAGATGCATGACTGGAAATAGCTTGTGCCTTACTCCAGTATAAAGGTCAGCTCTCACACAATGCATGAAAGTTTTGTCTTGGAAAATTGTGTTCAGACTCAAAATCCACACGTGGAACGGACTATTATGAGAATTTCACTTCCGCGAGTGACGTCACGCGCACGAGCCGTCGTGCGTGATGACGTCACGATGTCGGGAAGATCACTGGCAGCTGAGTCCTCACACTCCCACCAACATGAGCTCCGTGATTGGATGTATCACGGATGCCATTCTCCAATTAGCTACTACTGTGGGATATTTAAAGTTTGTATTTGCAGCATGTATTTACCAATTGATAAAGCCGAACTACACAGGCGAAACGCGTCTTGGACCAAGCACTATCACTTGAGTATATTGATTTTATTGTTTTAAGTTATATTTACAATAAATGTTATATTTTTGATTCAAGTTGATTAGTGATATATTCATGCTGCTGCAAAGAAGGGCTGTGTCACTCTATATTTGACACTACATCTGCACACTTGGAGCCTGGTAACTGGCTCCTGACAAGGTGAGAAGCCAATTATCATTTATATTTGATCATCTATTATATCAAGGATTTCTACACCAGGGTTAGCTTTGCTTCCCTGTTTCTCCTGTTTTTGTTTCCATTTTGAGGTTTCCCATCTAACAAGGATGTACAAGGACTTCCTCACCACCTATATCTCCTGAGAATCACAGGAGTAAGTGTTTATTTTATTGTTATAGCGCTCCACATCTTGCACTATTTGGCATTAATTTGCACAATAGCGTTTTTTGTACACATCTGATTGTTAATAGGTTTGAGAGTGCCTATCTTTGGTGTGTGAGCTGCTACCACTTTGCTGTGTATTGTATTGTAATTCATTTCTTTTAAGCGCCTTTTATCACAGAATCATTATTTTATTTTTTCATTTTATTTTACAGGTGCTTAAACTTTCTCCATGTTCTGTGGTTACCACAGTCTGTCTTTGCAAGGCAGGTTTTTCTGTTAACCTTTTTACTTTTTTTTGTTTTGTTTTTAATATAGATCTAAACTCCACATTATCGTATAAGAAATAAAGTAGATTGCAGAAACCTTGACGTGTAGATTGTGTTTCTAAAAAAAAACTTGCTGTGTCCCATTCTGTGACATCAATGCAATTCTATAGTGTGGGTGAGGAAATGGCCAAATGAGATGGTGGATTTCAGAGTCAAAAAGAAACAAACCTCAGTTTCTCTTGTTGAACACAGATTTGAGTTCCTTTTTGTCGCTTTAGATTTTTTTGGGGTGGATACTATGTAAATTTATAACAGGGTATAGACTCTTTGCTTTAATGGAAAAATATAGTGCTGTAAATATCAAACTGTATTGCTAACATTATACTTTACTCTGCACCCTTATTGTCAGTTACCTGATGGTTCAGGCTCCACCAACATCAGGTCCTTCCTCCGCATGCATTTAGGCTTCCCCATCAGAAAGCATTTACTAAATACGTTTCTGTAGGGTTTTAAAATAGCCTGGTTGTCCTATGCAAAGCATAAGGATGTCCAGTGTTATTTCACAGTTATATTTTAAGGACCCTGAAGTGCCTCTAGTGGCTGTCTGATAGACAGGCAATAGAGGAGGAGTTAACCTTGCTATAAAATTTTTGCAATTTCACAGAATATGCAATAGTTCACATTGCAGGGTTAAGTGAACTTGGGAACATCACCCAAACAAGATGAAGTGCTCTTGGTGCCTCTAAGTGTTCCTTTAAAAAACAGCTTCTTAATCTTCTCATTGCTAGATTTTCTAAATCTTCAGTTATAAGCAAAGCTATGCATAAGCACAGTGACAAGAGTACCTTTTGTGCACCATAAATTAGCATAGGCTGTTACAAAGCCATATTTCCTAACTGTTATGGACTGTTTGGTAGAGTCTTAATTTTGTGTTGCTCTCCATTGTCCCACAATAATTAACAGGTTGGCGTTAATTACAGCTACATATTTAACGGCACACACAAATTAATGTAGATTTCAAAAGTAATTTTTTAATCTTTTTAAAAGTGGTAGAATAAAGAAGTCTAGCACTAATTTAAAATTACAAAAAGTGAAAAAGTATGTTGGCCATTTATTAGATACATAATTTTTGCACATGTGGCCAACATCGGATATTGTTAGTCGCTCTTTACTCTTAAGAATCCTTGTGACTAAGGCTTGGATGAAGCTGTGATCTTCCTTTACGGAACACTCCTTCAGTATCCAATAGTCTCTTATGCAGTGAATCCTCAAAGCGGTTTGCTTCTTTGCTCTGGAGATGTAAAAATCAAACATAGTTCAAACTCACCAAATCGTAACCGTAAAGCAAATTACAATCTCTATATTTTATATTTTAAAATACAATTTACATGTAGAGGATTGGAGGCATAGTATATAACGAATGATAGAGCACTTTAAATGTAGACTTACAGCATTTCCATGACCCCACAAAATAAGACAAAATAGGAACAACTTTTATATTAAGTATTTTGCCTACTCTTGACAAAAGGCAGAGCTACCTAAGGTACACTTAAGCATGCACGTGAGTAGATTGCGTCCGTTGGCTCCTGTCAAATAAAATGCCAGGAGCTGAAGAGGACCTTGTGAAAGCTGCATACAAAGGACATTTTAAGTCAAGTAAAAAATACCTTCACCTGCCCTCTATGGCTCCTGGACTACACGTGGAACAGTGAATGCCTGAGGTTTTAACACAATATGCAAAATAAATTAAATAAAATGTCCTCAAAAGATTAAGTGCTTTAGGGGTCATTAGAGGTGTAAGAATTTGGTATAATGCAACAGAAGCTTACGTTTTAAGAACCAGTTGGATTTTGGAAGAGCTGTCAGTCGGAGATGATACACAAAGATCCTCTTGTTAAACAGAGCGATTTGCTCCATCCCGAACTGGGACACCAGATCTAAAAAAAAAAAAAATTGCACCTAGTGTCTAATGCATTAAACCGATATCCCCACCAAACTATAAAACTTGATCTTATTGTTATTGTGATACAGTCACAGGGTAAGCAGTGTTTGGGTGATACAGGCGTTTAATTCTCCACAATCACAGTACTTTTGGTTACCTTATAAGTATTACAGTGACTCACATTGGTTGAATTGGCACATGAATACACATGTGAGTAGTAACGCCACGTCAAGGCTTCAACCCTTGTTACTGACCATTCACACACACACCATACTTTTCATTCATACGCCTTCGGTATTCTAGATGTTTTGGACTACACCTCCCATAATGGTTTGCCAGCATTATGGGAGATGTAATTCACAGCATCTGGACTGCCCAAGGTTACCTACCTCTGAACTATGCCGTGATCACAGTACACAATGTTGAAGTCGCTGTGCAAACAGGAGCAGCTCGTCATGTGTCAGATGTCACTTCATTAGTTATAAATTCAATACTCCACCCTGGAGACGAGCATCAGACATGGGCTTCTTCATTCCTCTTCATGTACTTCGTGTCCCATAGAAGAACATGCTTGTCAGAGCTGTGACACACACAAAAATAAATAAACTGGTGAGAGTAACTGGCATAACCGACACAGTGCATGTAGACTTGCGTGCCACATACATACAGCAGACAGACACAAAGATTGTGGGAGACACACCGGATTAAATATAAGAATTTGGAGTACCGTACATACACAATGCACAAAGAGACGGAGATTACTGAATTCGGTGACCGACGGATTTGGTTGCAGATGTGGGGCTGTCCCTCTCGCTGGGGTGCAGCTTCTCATCCTTCTCTGGCGAGTGACTAGATGGCTGCGGTTTCATAGCAAAAAGCATGCTTTGGCATATGATATCTAGGAAATAAATATTTTTCTGTGAAACTAGGGTTGTATACATCTAACACACAGGCCACACGTACTGTACAGCTCCCCATCTAATGCACAGCCCCCAAATATAATACACTGCCCCCCACATGTAACAAACAGCCCCTCCATCTAACACACTGCCCCCCTAATATACTTCACAGATCCCCCAATATACTGCACACCCCTCCATATACTGTGCAGACCCCCTATGCAGCGCAGACCCCCCCCATATGCAGCGCAGACCCCCCATATGCAGCGCAGACCCCACCATACAGTCCTGACCCCCATACTGCCCCCATATGCGGCGCCCAGACCCCATATAAAGCGCCAGACCCACCAGGCGCTGACTCCCATGCCTAGCAGACCCCCCTAGCCCGGTGCAGACCCCCCCATATACTGCGCAGACCCCCATATATAGCACAGACCCCCAATATACTGCGCAGACCCCCAAATACTGCGCATACCTCCCCATATACAGACAGCCCCCATATACTGCGCAGACCCCCAATATACTGCGCAGACCCCCATATATAGCGCAGACCTCCCATATACTGCGCAGACCCCCCCAAATACTGCGCAGACCTCCCCATATACAGACAGCCCCCATATACTGCGCAGACCCCCAATATACTGCGCAGACCCCCATACAGCTTCTGGACCCCTACAGCGCGGATCCCCATATGCCTATGCGCGGACCCCCTATACTGGTACGGACCCCACCCTTCTGGCAGACCCCCCCACTGTAACGCCCAGACCCCCATATACTGGCAGACCCCCAGCAGGAGCCCCCAGCTACAGCGCGAGACCCCCATACAGTGCAAATCCCCTATACTGTAACCCCCCATACATGCAGACCCCCATATGCAGCGCAGACCCCAATATAATAATGTAGTAAAACCCCCCCACTCCCCAATATAATGCACTGAAACCCCCTTAATATAGTACACCCTCCCCTCGGATGGCTGAGAGTGTTGCGAGCTTTACTCAGACGATCAGAGTCTGCGGATGCGCAGTATAGGGGTAGGGAGATTTCACAGGGCTTAATCGCCATCAGATTTCCCTACCCCTATACTGCGCATGCGCGGTGTGTGTGAAGCGCTCCCTGTCCCTAAGTGCGCATGCGCGCTGTACCTCCGACGGGAGTACCTTGCCGCGCGTGCACACTATGCCTTTTTTCGCCTCCTCGCTGTGTTAAGTCCCTACCTAGGTGGTGTGCGCCTGCGCAGCGGCGCACACCTCTGTCCCAACGTCACTTCCGGTGCGGCTTCGTCACCGGTAGTGACGAGGGTAGGGTTTTCTAACGGGGTAGGGAAATTTGATAGAACACCGGCCAGGGAAGACCTAAACAGCAGGGGATGTTTAGCAGTCTAAATGTGCCCCCCACCATCAGCCTTATGACATTCCAAGAAAAGAGGGGCAGGAGTACCTAACCCCACCAGGGGGAAAGAATCCCACAACAAAATGAGCAAAAAAAGCACTTACAGAAAAAATGTAATGTGTATATAACTTTAAATAATAACGGAAACACACTGTCCCATAAGTACAGCCGGCACTGAGCCGACAACCCCCCAGAGCGTACCACGAGGCCGCGGGAGGGTGATTAACTGGAGGCCGGTAGCTACCTCTCCCCTGTGGCCAGTTTGCCCTCGCCCATGCCGCCCCCAACCTGTGTTTAACCCGACACCGCAGGCGGCAGCGCGGGCTAGGGTGAGAGAGGGCTGGAGACACTCATACTCCGCTGACCCGACGGTCGGCAACGGGAAGTGGTTCAGAGGACCGCTCCCCGGCGACCGCAAAGGCACACAAGTGAGGAGGGAAAAGGAAAGGGGGGGAAGAATGGGGGGAAGGGTGAGCGGAGAAGTAAAGAAAGTGATAGAGAGAGAGGGTAGACAGACTAGAGCTACCCAAGTCCCTCAACATGCCCACAGCAGTGGTTCCCAAGCAGGGAAAACAATGCAAGAAACCCCCACACAGCAATAATCTAACCTACACAGTATAGAAATAGGCAATAAAGCAATACAGAAATACAATAAAAATACAATAAAATATCCTCAGCCACCCATATGGTAATAGGAGGCAGTGATACTCTGACCTGTGCTTGATGTGGAGCAGCAAAGAAAGAGGAAGTAGTTGGTTGACAGTCATCGACTTATTTTGTTTGGTTTCTTCTGCTAGTATTACTGAGTTGTATACTGTTCATGTACTTTATTTTGTTGCAGCTTGAAAGAGGAAGTAGTTGGTTGGGAGAGGCCTTTTATGGTTTCCTTACTTTTTTGTGATTTTTTTTTCTCTCTATGTTAATGTGCTACTGTGGAGTTCTAGTAAAGAGAGACTTAAGCAAATATGACGCCTCCTGTCATGCTATAAAATTGTTTAATTCAGTTTACCATTGAGAAACTAGATATTACTGTCATGTCCACTAGATGGCAACATGCTATAAAGCAATTCTAAAGGAATTTATACTCATTCAAACTTCCTGTCATTTTGTATATGTATTTATCACACTATAGTTACTTGTACGTTTTTTTTAATTTTTTATTAATATTCATTTCAAGCACTTCATTCCTGTTGTAGCAAATAGGCATTTCTGTTTGGAATAGCATCACTGATTATACAATTTACAGTTGATTGAAATGTTAAATGATTTTTTGGAATGTATTTTCAAAAATAATCCATTCTATAATATACCCTTTATTGTATAATTCGACTTTTATTAAGTTCATTATACTTTTTATTGGTTAATTAAGTGTTATCCTAGCTAGCATTCAATCTCCAAGGACAACATAATTGCATTTTACCAAGTTTCTTTTTATTTTTTTATTAGTAATTTAAGAATTTCCAAACTTGTGTCAATTCACAATATTGTTCTGTTAATCAATTATAAAAATAGTCCTTACATCTATTAAAGAGATTCCTTCTGAATTCAGCAACAGGTATATTTTTAAAAGCTCAAATGAACAATTTTCTTCTCTAATCTCTATCCTTTTCTCTTGGATCCATGAATTGTAACTCATCTGTTATCAGTCTGCTGCATACCCCATTATCCTGTAAACTCCTAATAAATATAGCAAAGATAATTGTCCACTCCTATCACTCTTTTAACACTAAACCTATTTGTTCATTTTCCTATTGGCTTTCAGTATCCTCCTATTCTCCACTGCTATTTCCCAAGTTACATCAATCTCTAATTAAAGGGACACTATAGTCACCATAGCAACTAAAGCTTATTGAATTTGTTCTGGTGAGTAGAATCATTACCTTCAGGCTTTTTGCTGTAAACACTGTCTTTTCAGAGAAAATGCAGTGTTTACATTACAGCCTAGTGATAGCTTCACTGGCCACTCCTCAGATTGCTGTTAGAGGTCCTTCCTGGGTCATGGCTGCCTAAAATGCATCCAAGCATTCAGTATCTCCTCCCTCTGCATGCAGACACTGAACTTTCCTCATAGAGATTCATTGACTCAATTCATCTCTATGAGGAAATGCTGATTGGCCAGGGCTGTGTTTGAATCATGCTGGCTCTGCCTCTGATCTGCCTCCTTGTCCGTCTCAGCCAATCCTATGGGGAAGCATTATGATTGGATCAGGCTACCACTTCTGATGATGTCAGCAGACTGTTTGTTTTTCGGAGTCTAACCTCATGCAGATTTACAGCTTCAGGCTTGAATACAGTAAGATTGTTACTATATTTATGGAGGCATGAGGGGCCAAGGGGGGTTAGATGGTGGTTTTAACCTATAGGGTCAGGAATACATGTTTTTGTTCCTGACCAGATAGTGATCCACTAAGGAAGTCCAACTTGCTTCAGTCCCTCAACTCAACAAATGAACTTTGTGTCATGGGCTCTTTTATCCCTTCAAGCATGCTTGTGCCTTTCCCTAACATACTTTCTTAAAAACTATTTACATCACTTAATTATATATATTACACATAACACAATTGGCAATGCAGTAATGAATAACACAGTTCTGGTAATGCAACCATTACTTTTACGGTTATCTGGCTTTGCACCTATTGTGATATTATAGTGAAACATTTCATATGAGGTATCTTCTAAAAAGTCTTAGCCTTAGAACTAAAGAGCTCTGATCTCTAATATTTAAGTGAGTTTTGAGAGTTGGACTGCATCTCTATATCTCTATGAACTCTCATTGGGGTAACTGCGTAAACATATACAATACATAGCTACATACAGTGTAATTAATTATGATAGCCTTTGAAATTTATTTTGGTTAATCAGTTTTTTTATTGTAGAAAAAACAGGAGAATGTTTAGGCTCGCAGGCCCATGACAGTGTCAATACAAAATATGTACGTATCGTTAGTATGTTAAACGTCCAGATGGAATTTACAATCAGGTTTGTTATACAATGAGTATCAATTTCCGATTGTAGCAGTATTTCTCAGCATTAATTGCCATGTTGTTTTGGTGTGGAACTGTATATATTTCCGCTTGGGCCCTTCATATGTGAGATTAAGGGTGGGTGTATTAACGTCCGTCAGTGCCTTGAAGTTGCACAATTACAGGCGCTAATCTTTGATAAGATTTGTCGGTATGTGTGAAAGTGTGGTGGGATGTATTGGGTTGTGCGATAGGATAAAAGGGTCATTGCCTAAGTATGTTAGTTTCGAGTGGGACATTTGGTACAAGTGGATTAGGGAGGCGATAGTGTGGGTTATCGAAGATGGGGATATATTGCGTTAGGCATCCCCCCTTGTTGTGTGCTTTTCCATTTGTGTGTTCCGGTCCTCGGTACGTTCGTATCACGTAGTGTGATAGAGCCAATGAGGGTTATCTCTAGGGCCGCTTTGGTGAGAAGTCTCCCTTACTCCTTTGGGTATCGTCCCCTATGTTTCGTATGATTCGTCTAAGTTTGGGTTTGTTTCCCTGGGTAGCCTACATGACTCCGGAGCGTGTCATTTCAGAAGTGGCGTGCAAGGAAGGTTATTTATTATGTTGCGTATGTCAGTGGGGGCAAGGAGTATGAGTTTTCCGAGATTTCTCTTGAAAGGAATGGTATTTTGATGTGCGTGTGTCAGGGATGTGGCTTTATCATGTCTGGTAGCCAGTTGACCCAAAGTCACTCCTTTAGTGTTATGTTGTGGGTTTCCCTCGGGGTCTTAGTTAGCTGTTACTGTCCTATGTTATAGTGGTTAAGGTGTCATGTGGGGTTCGTCGGGTCCTCATGCGTCAGTTATTCGTTTGGTCGTGGCCTGTTAGGCGTGTTGGCATGTAGCCTTGTTCCGGTTGATCGTTAACGTACGTTTCTTTCCTGCTTTTCCCTTTGTCTGTTGTCGTCTGTGGTGCTCCCCTACCCAAGTATGTGGTGTGGTCGGCATGTTCAGAGTGGTGCCTATGTACTCTAGTGTAGGAGGGTGTTTATGAGATGTGGCATATGGTATGATTCTGCTGTGTGAGCTGCGCCGCCCCCCCCAGCTCCCGACCCACCGCCGACCACCCCCCTATGCACCCGCACGGAAGGTGAACCACGGCATCCATGTCTCTGCGCATTTTGCTCCTCTACCCGCCAGTTCCGCCTGGAGTGTTTCAGCCACCCTAATGTCCTCAACTCTGTGGATCCATTCCTCCCATGTGGGGATGTTCGACTTTTTCCAGTACACCTTGAGATTTATTTTGGCCTAAACTGCAAATTGGATGAATTTAGGACCGATCAGGTGGTCAGCCAAAACTCAAATTTTTGGCCCACCACAGGGGAACCGACTTTAAGTTCTAACATGCATGTTTTTATTCATAATTTGGGAAATAGAAGGAAGAAGAGGCAGTGGGAGATAACATGGGTCATTTATTCTAGTGTGAGACTAGGTTTATTTAACTTTCTGCTCAATCTAGTTCGCTAGCTAGTGCCAGAGGTATTGGAAATTACTTTGATTGAGAGATAGGAGACTGACATTTTCTCATTGATATTAGGGTAAAAATATACCATTATACACTGTTAAAAGTTGTTGTGTGTGTTTTTTTTTGTTTTTTTAACTGATTGTCGAAAGAAAATATTTTTGTTGGGGGGAGCAGAGTGTGTTGTTAATAGAAAGATGACCTACCTTGTCCCACATTGGCACTCACACAAACTTGTTTACAAACACTGCATAAGTTAATCCTGCCTGCAATGAGTGCGGCAGAAGTAGTGTCACAGGTTCAGTACAACATCATTGGAAAAGTAAAATCTTTTTTTTAATTTTCTTTAACTCTGTGTTGTGCTTGTTTTAAAGCACTGTACACTGCAGTCCACTGTGTGCAGTGTGCTTTGTAGTCAAACATAAAACTATTATAGTAGTAGAGTAAAACCACAACAATAACAAACATTTTAAAAAAGGGAGAGCAACAGCAGCAACATAAGTACCTGCTTCACTACTTCACCCTTAGGCAGAGCAGGGGGATTTTATCAACAGAAGCAGATTAAACTCCTCATCATGCCAGTGTCCACAAGCCCACTATTGAATATGTTGTTGTATTTCATTCCAGGACCATGTCAAAACAGAAGGCAAACAAAACAAGTTCCCCTACTGGCCGGCATGCCTTTCTTTCCTTGATGGCACACTGGTGGAAATCCACAGTGTCTGGGTATGGTGGTGGTGTGGTAGTGGTGAAGGTCCAAACTTACTGAAACCATACTTGAGGGTTGCCAGACATTTTCACTGTAGTGTAAGGGCTAGCATCTCTTGAGACGGTAGGAAGAGAAAGGAGGGCTTCCAACACATCTGCGACAGGATATAAGCACACAGGGAAATTCCCCTTAAGACGTGCTGGAAAGATTTTTTCAACAGCAGAGTGCAATCTATAGTATTGCTTCCCTTCACTCCATTTGTGTTGGCTGCCCACTGGTGGTGTGAGGACTGGACCACAATAGGGCAGCTACTGTCAGTAAGTATTCCATTTACAGACATGACAGACACTTTGAGCCACAGAACTGCATGTTTAGGCTAAGTCATCCCATTGTTCACTCCCCTAATTAGAAAACAAAAATACACAAATAAAATTATTCCTGCTGATCGCCTTTTTTTTTTTATTTTTTTTATTTTACAAATGCCTTTCATTGCAGTGGTTTTTGTCCTGCCTGGCTGAATCTTGTGGTGCTTGCTACCTCCACAGACACAACTGTGAGAAGTTAATATGGCACTGTTCTTTTCCACTCTAAAGAACAATCGCTGACACTACAAACTAGATGTGTAGGAAACTATGTTAATTTTAAGATGGAAGGGATGTGTGGGTCATCAATTTTTCCTTAAATTTTTGGATTAACCCCCTATTTTGAACGTGAAATGAATACTCCTCCCCGTTATTCGTTAATCCAAGATGCAGAAGAAAACAGATTACATTCAATCATTATAAAATAAAAAGATAAAGGTTATCTCACTTCCTATTTTATTTTAAATCCATAGATATAATAATCAAATTTTGGCAACTGAGAATTGGCATTGCAAAAATGACTTACAGCTGTGCTCAAAAGTTTTAATACCTTGGATAATTGGTAATATATGTACCATTTAAAAAAAAAAAAGAGTGATCAGGCTAAACACAATTATTTTATTTCTTATGGGATTCCTATTCAACCGTAGATTATAACAGAATGGCACATTTATATAAGAAAAAATAGCAACAAAGAAAAAAATGTTCAAAAGTCTGCATACCCTTAGTTCTTAATCATGTGTATGGCCCCCTTTAGCATCAATGACAGCATGCAGTGTTTTGTAATAGTTGTCTATGATGCCCTAATTCTTGCAGGTAGTATAGCTGCCCATTTGTCTTGCCAAAATGCCTCCAGGTCATGCAAAGTCTTTAATCTTCTTGCAAGAAGCGCACGTTTGAGATCTTTCCACAGTGGCTCAATGTTATTAAGGTCAAGATACTGTATTGGCCACTTCAGAACCTTCACCTTTTTCTGCTGTAACCACCAGAGGGTCAACTTGGCCTTGTCATGCTGGGAAGTCTAAAAGCGTCTAATGCGCAGCGTTCGTGCAGAAGAATATAAATTGTCTGCCAGTATTTTCTGATAACATGCTGCATTTATCTTGCCATCAATTTTCACAAGATTTCCTATGCCTTTAGAGCTCACACCCCATCCCAAAACATCAGTGAGCCGCCACCATGCTTCACAGTGAGAATGGTATTCTTTTCACTATTGGGCTTGTTGACCCCTCTCCAAACATAGTGCTTATGGTTATGACCATGAAGCTCTATTTTAGTCTTGCCACTCCAAATGTGCCAGAAACAGTGAGGCGTGTCAAGCTGTTGTGGGGCATATTGTAACCTGGCTTGTTTTGTGGCATTTGGACAGTAAAGGCTAATTTCTGGCAACTCAATCATGCAGCTGTAGCGTTACTCACCTTATCCAGGGGCCGGCTGCGGTCCTCTCTTCAAGCCGCGCGCGGTCCTGCTGCTGCACGAGCCGCGCGCGGCTCATCCGACAGCTCCACTAGCAAGGCAGGCAGTGACCGCGAGAAGCGGTCACATGTCCCGCCTGAATCTAAGAGCGCGCCGTGAGTCTCGGGTGCGCTCTTAAAGAGACAGTGGGAGCCTAAATTGTCAAAAGGCTCCCATTGGCCCCTGTCATACCACACTCCCCATACACTTACCTTTTGGGGGTGTGGATATGACAGGAGCCAATCACATTAGTTTTGAAGCTATTTAAACTTACCTCTCCCTTTACTCCCTGCCCTATCGTGGTTTCTGTATCAGTTCCCTTTAGCGCTTGTTGTGTTCAGTTGTGTTTCTCCGTATTGACTTTGGCTTTGTTTCTGACTACGTTTTCTCTTAATCCTTATCTGTTCTGGTTGTCGGCTTGCTGTTTACTGTGTACCAGACCCCGGCTTGTCCTAGTTTACGCTGTCTCTCTGTGCCCTTGATTTCGGATCGTTCCTGACTCTGTCTCCTGTCATATACGTCGAGTCCGGCCATTCTAAGGTCCGGTAGACGTATCTCTCCTCTGTGTTGTCTTCTGTTTAGCTGAATCCTGCGTGTTGGGGTATATTCTCGTTACAGCAGCTTATTTTTGTTCAAATATTGTCGTATTGTGCTCCTTCAAATAACCGTACAGTCTTTTTCCAGAGCAGCCTATATTTCTCCTGATGTTACCTGTGGGTTTTTCTTTGTATCCCAAACAATTCTTCTGGCAGTTGTAGCTAAAATCTTTCTTGGTCTACTTGACCTTCGCTTGGTATCTAGAGTTCCCCGAATTTTCCACTTCTTAATAACTGATTGAACAGTACTGACTTGCATTTTTTTAAGGCTTTTGATATATTTTTATATCCTTTTCCATCGTTATCAAGTTCCATTTCCATGTCTTTTGACAGTTCATTTCTGCTCTTCATGACTCAGTATCTAGTTTCTCAGTTCAAACAAATTAATTGACTATTTATACACATACACTAATTGCAATTTAAAAAGTCATAGGTGTGGGAAATTAACCTTTAATTGCCATTTTAACTTGTGTGTGTCACCTTGTGTGTCTGTAACAAAGCCAAACATGCAAGGGTATGTAAACTTTTGATCAGGGCCATTTGGGTGATTTCTGTTATTATGATTTACAAAGGAGCCAAACAACTATGTGATAATAAATGGGTTCATATGATCACTATTCTTCAATAAAATATGTTTTTTTTATTTTTTGTATGATCAGTCAAATTTTCAAAATCAATGCCAAAATTTCACAATTTCTGCCAGGGTATGCACATTTTTAGCTCAACTGTCTACTGAGTAGCCATTAGGCCAGGTAATATTGTAACCATTTTTGCATTGCAGCATAGTCATAGACCAATTCTTCCTGCTGTATTTGCTGCCCAAATTGCCTTACCAGATTTATTTCCGTACCAAAAATTCAGCAACGCCAAACTAAAGACAGGAACTAAATTCTGCCTTAGCAGAATTGTTTTTTTTTCCAGCCGAAAGAAAACATTTTTTTTTTGTGTGTAAAATAGAACACTAAACCCAATAAAAAGAGCAAATCTATTTTTATAATTAGTATTTTTTTTCTCAAATAATAGAATCATGGGTAACCTGCATTATAGCTGTAATTTTATGCACAGGACTCTAAATTGTATTGGAGGCATAATAGAATGAATCATTGCAATAGTGTTCCATGTGTAAATAATATCTTTGTGTTTCATATGTAAGCAGTCATTAAAGTATATCATATATTTTAATTAGGAAGTTACTGTTTTTATTGTGTAAAACATAGACGTTTTCAGTTTTATAAATCAGAAAATAAAATGTTTACTTATATTTCGGTGTGTTTCTTTGGTAGGTTTCCGAAACTCTTACATTTCAGAATTAGTCTTAATAATTACTTCTGTTCACTGATTACAGTAGATATAATCATTATATTGTTGCCTTCTCTCATGAATAAAATTTCATATCTTCAAACTGTAGAATTGTTCCCTGCATGTTATTCATACCTAAGACACTGAATTCATTTGCATACAAGGTAGAGTGAGTAAAAGAAAAAAGAAGAGTTTGGGGAGTTAGAAGATGTGTAATGGAGATTTTATAGTCTCCTCTGTAATTAGTTAGCAATAATTTGAACATCTGGTATTGCCCACTAGAGAACACTAAGTACAAATATTGTAAATTATATTTTTGATTGTTATTGACTTGCCGCTAACATTGAACTAAAACAAAATCCCCTAATTTAGTATGTCAAAGGGGTTATTAGTGCTAATAATTTATGATTCCAGAAACAGATTGGATATGCTGTTCTTGTCTGGTCAGACATGTTAATAATCGTGGTCCAGATTTGGTAATGATTAAAATACAGGCATTTGTTCTCAGTTTTAAATTATTATATTTTTCTTTCTGAAATTCTAGCCAAAACAACAAGTTAGAAAACAAATCCAACTCAGCCAAGTTGCCAGTTTGGCTATTTTGGTACCCAGAAATCTATTTATTGGTTTGCAATAATTTACTGTTTAAGAAATTAAACTCATATACACTTTCTGGACCCTATCAGAGGAGAGCTTTTAAGTATTTTACTGTGACATTTTCCTGTGGCATTTTTTATTTCCTATAATAACTAATATTTGCACTCACATGTGTGTGTGCCTGCATGCGTGTGTAATTAGAAAATAAACATATAATATTTTAATACTAATCTGCCACAACATTAAAACCACTGATAGGTGAAGTGTATAACATTGATTATATCATTACAATGGCACCTGTTAAGGGGTGGGATATGTTTGAAGCAGGAAAGAAAGGGAAAGGAAAAGATCTGAATTGCTTTGACAAGGGCCAAATATTGATGGCTAGACAACTGGGTCAGAGAATCTCCAAAACGGCATGTCTTTTGGGGTATTCCTGGTATGCAGTGGTTAATACCTACCAAAAATGGTGCAAAGAAGGACAACATGCATCAGTTACATGGGTGCCTAAGGTACATTGATGCATGTTGAGAGTGGTGGCTAGCCAATCTGGACAGATCACACAGAGCTACTGTAGCTTACATTGCTGAAAAACATAATCCACGCAATAATAGGAATGTGTCCAAATACACAGTGCATCAAAGTGTGCTGCACATGGGGCTGCTAAGCCACAAACCTAGTCAGTGTGCCCATGATGACATTGTCTACCAGTAAAAGTGACTTTAATGGGGATGTGAGTGTCAGAACTCATGCATGGAGCAATGGAAGAAGGTTGCCTGGTCTGATGATTCACATTTTCTATTAGATCAGGTAGATGGCTGGGTGTGTATTTGTCATTTACCTGGGTAAGCAATGGTAACATGATACAATATAGGAAGTAGACAGACCGGCAGAGACAATGTTAAGCTCTTGGCAATGTTCTGCTGGGAATCCTGGCATTCATCTTACTTTGGCATGTACCACCTACCTAGAGATTGTTGCAGACCACATCCACCTCTTCTTGGCAATGGTGTTCCCTGATGACAGTGACATTTTTTAGCAGGATAATGCATCCTGCCACAATGCAAAAATTGTTCAGTAATGATTTAGGAACATGACAAAAAGTTTAAGGTATTTCCTTGGCCTCCAAATTTCACAGGTCTTATTTTGATTGAGTGTATGTGTGTGGATATATATATATAATTTAAATATATTTAAATTTAACTTTATGTTGGCCAACAATCTTACACTTTAATGGCTATTAAAGTGGCACCAAAAATCTGTTACAGACAGCTCATATATGTTCTAAAGAATGGAAGGAAAACTGAATATTTTGTATCAATAATATAGCAAAGAAATAAAAAAGAGAGGCTAATACAGGAGGAAAATATAAGATACCAAAGAGGCAGTTATATCTGCAAGAAAAATGAAAAAGTCCAAGCACTCACTGATTAATCAAATGCATGTTCGACTGGACATGGGCAGTTAACGTTTTGACTCTAATGAGTCTTTGTCAAGCCATCCTTCATCTCCAAAAAAGCAATGGGTGATGATGTTTCTGTTTTGTTTCATACAGCAACATAAATAGCAATCCTGATTATGTCATGTATGGCATAGAGTAGGCCTCCCCAAACTCTGGCCCTCCAGATATTGCTGAACTACAACTCCCATGATTCTATGAATGAAATAGGCTTCACAACGAAGTGGTGAAACGCGTTCCGGTTTTTATTTGGACATTGCTCCTTATTTTGTTTTATAGAATTAATAAATTATTACATTTTTTACTCTGCATCTACCTGGTTCGGCACTTTTACTATTCCTAATGGGAGTGCAGCCCCTAGTCTGCATAATGCCTGAAAAGAGAGTCATACAGACTCCACGTTTGTAAGTACCCACTTTTGGGATTTTTTTACAATAGATACATTTATTTAAACAATATTGCGCTATCTTTCTTGTATATCCATTCCCCTTCAGGACCGACTACTATTTCCTATTGAGAGGTGGGCCGCCTAAACGGACCCAGAAGCGAATCCAACTAGAGGTGAGTTTTCAGCTCTGGGTCTGTAAGTGTGCCATTTTTCTAATTTATATATTCTTAAACCTGCTACGGTCTATACTATGTTGCTATAACTATTTTTTAGATACATTGCCTACTTGGAATACTAGTGAAAAAGATTTCCCTTCAGCAACATAAAAGATCTATTTGCAATCTGGGATACTAGTGAAAAATCTCTTTTCTCAAGCAATACAAAAGGACCGACTACTATTTCCTACTGAGGGGTGGGTCGCCTAAACGGACCCAGAAGGGAATCAAACTAGAGCTGAGTTTACAGCTATGGGTCTGTAAGTGTGCCATTTCTTAAATTTTTATATTTTTAAATTTGTTACGGTCTATAGTATGTTGCAATAATTATTTTTTAGATACATTGCCAATTTGGAATACTAGCGAAAAAGATTCCCCTTCAGCAATAGAAAAGAACTATTTGCAATCAGGGATATCAGCGAAAAATCTCTTTCTCAAGCAATATAAAAGGTGAATTTAAAGCGCTACATTCTTTATTTTTCATCTGTTTCTTGTATTGGTGATATTGTAAGGAATCACACGAATGTTTAGCAGCTAAATGGTATAAAGTTTATCACAATAATTGTTCTTTGTTTCATAATAAGCGCTAGGCTCTGCTTATATTTTCCTATTTGAGAATCATAGGAGTTGTAGTTCAGCAACATCTGGAGGGCTGGAGTTTGGGGAAGCCTGGCATAGAGCATCCACATTTATGTTAAAACTTTTTAATAAACAGATGTATTGGGTTGTACATGCGCTTTTACAGAATCCTCCCAAGCAGCCTTGTGGACCGAGGTGGCAAAACCACCAATCTCAAGTACAATAGAAACAAAAGTCCAAGCATTCAATGGTTAATCCATTTTTATTATATTATAGACAGACAACATTTCGACTGCAATGAGTATTTATCAAAGTCGACTTATTTAGACTAAATATTGCCTGCCCGTATCCAATAAAGCCAATTGATTGAATGTCCAGATCTTTGTTTCTACTGTAAAAAATAAATTGAAAAAACAAACTACAAAAACTAACAAAATGTGGATATTTTTACATGAAGCACACACTTTGCCTTTGCTCGGTCTCTCTACTTGTAGAGTCTCAAGTATTTTGAAAACTGAAAAAATATTTTTAATAAAAACATACAAAATATATTGTGATATATATATATATATATATATATATATATATTGTGATCCTTGTCACCGGGTAGCACGGCCCTCTAGGGTAAAAACATGCACAGTCCTTGTAATTGCATATACTCAGGCACTTTATTTGCAAATCCACACAGGATACAGCAGAAAATGAAAAACAAAAGTAACAGAAAACCCTATAAACAAACACCTAGCTCGTCTGAGCACTAACTGACATTAGTTCCCTATCTCTCAGGGTTAAACTAAACACAATTTTGCACCAACCTTATTAGTTAGCAACACTCTGCTGCCTAGCCTGTTGCATTCCTTTCTGCACTCCCAGTGCTCCAAGCCAGCCTTGCCCTGACTGCTTTGCTTTCTGCACTCCCAGTGCTCCAAGCCAGCCTTGCCCTGACTGCTTTCCTTTCTGCACTCCAAGTGCCTAGTCTTCTTGACTATATGGAGAGAACAGCCTCTCTCTCCTACCTGCTTCCTGGGAGGAAGCCAGCAATCCCTCTCCTTTTCCTGCCTAGCCGGGAGGAGTTTATTCCCACTGCAACAGCTGATTACCTGCAGCTGAGCAGTGGGTTGGAGACAGTCCAAAAAACCCTGGCCTGGATCTAGGTCTCCCCAGAACACCACTAAACTGTGGAGTGGAGCATTGGCCCACCCTTCTCTCCAAATGCTCCACCCCAGGGGCCCATAACTAAACAATGCGTTGTGTTGTGCAAAACACAAACTACACATACTCCCCCTGGGGTTAAAAGGCCTATCTGCCTTCACTTTATCACATATCCTCCTCCCCAGCTCAGACCCATCGGGTCGAGCGGCCTTAGAACACATACCGTGAACATTCACGTCACCTAGGGCTGTACCAGCCCTGACTAGCTTCACAGTTACAGGAAGTGGCCTATTGTGGATGGCTGCTACCTTGCTCGCTTGTATTTTAAGGAGCCCCCACCCAAGTGGATAACTCAAATAGTTATCAAATCCCAGATAACACGTAGCAGTGTTATAGGTCAAACCGGCAGCCTTTACCTTATTTACAACTAACCGGACCTTCATCAGGTGTGCTACAAAGTCCACCCTGTGAATTGCCACATCACCAAGATAGGCAGCGGCATACTCTGGCTGGAACAAAACACTTTTCATCAAAGTAACCTCACTCCCTGAATCTATCAGTGCTTGCGCACTCTTCTCTACCACCATCACCACTTTTAACTGTGCTGTAACACCACCACCAGTCACCATACACATCTTTAAGCAAGTCAATACAATCCTATACAGAACCCTTATTACTATGTCACATTGTATTGTCTCTTCACTCTCAGGACAGCTATATGTAATATGTCCATGCATGCGGCAGTTGAAGCAGTTTTTCTCAGTCTGGTCTCGTAGCCAAAATAGGACTTTTAGGTACGTTCTACCATCATAGGTATATTGTCCCAAACTTTGTCCTTGCTTTCCAGTTTCCCCGCTTATCTGGTTGCTAGCGGATCTAGGCTGAGGATCAGTACTGTGTGGCTCCTTAGTAGCCAAGTTCCTCTGAATCATCATCTGCTTCCACATCCATAGCAGCTTCTGATTTGATAATCTCTCAACGTTAGAGTAACTTTCAAAAGCAAACTTTGCAAAGGCTTGGCGTGTAGCTATACGTCCAATTCCTTCATGAGCTGAATTTTCCAGGTGCTCAACCTCTTCAAGACCTGGTTCTGTCACCAGCTCATCCTTCACTGGAACAAGTCCCTCCGCGAAGGGCTCCACAACATGCTCCATCTGTTCTGCGAATCCCTGGGAACCTGCTTTGCTCCCTATGGGGGTGTCCAGAGACGCAGTCATGGCCTCTCGCTGGGTCATTACAGCCCTGGTATCAAACAGCCGGTCAGGCATTCCGAGTCCCGCCTTTAATTCCATGACTGTGTTCCCAGAATCTGGCAGCTGTTCCCGGTAGTCAGTGCGTCCAGGCCTTGTAGCAGTAGTCTTTGCCAGCAGTTCCAGTTCTACGGCTCCCAAACAATCATTCAAAGTCTTTGTAGCTATACCAGGTGTCTCTGAAATATTTAATTCCGCTATGCCAATGTCACCTACTTTGTGACGTTCGCCTTGGTCTGGCTTAGCTACGGACGTGCCCATCTTATCATCAAAGCATGGTTCCGTAACTGTCGCTCTCTCTTGGCTTAGATCAGAAGCGGCTACTTTGCCTTTCTTGTTTTGACTTTGTTTTGCTACTACCTCTCGGCCTTGCTTTTCTCTGCCAAACTGTTCAACAGCTGGTCGACATTCTTGGGTAGCCTCAGCTACTAAACAGTGCACCGCATTGTTATACTCCACTGGGGTGCCTTGCTTCTCTCCATTTTGCTCAGCTCCTCTGCTGTTGTCTTCTCCTACTGCCTCTGTCATCCCATGCAGGATGTCAGTAGCTTGGTTACAGGGTCCCTTGTCCTCACGCTCCCTGCAGGGGGCAATCTGCAAAACCTCAGTAAGGGCAGCTCTATGCTCCTGCTGAGCATCTCTCAGGTTCTTAACCTGTGCAGCCAGGAAACTGTTTGTGCCTTGTTGTTTAGCCGTTGCCTGTACCACAGCTCTCAGCAGGTCCTCCATTATAGCACCAAGCAGGTAACAGTCTTAAAGGTACAGTGCTACTTGTTTGCTTAACAGGTCTGCAAAAAATAAAAGTCCTCAAGCAGACTACCGAATGACTGGCACACCCACAGCCCCTCAATGTGCTACTGTGCCCGCATTCTCCACCATATTGTGATCCTTGTCACCAGGTAGCACGGCCCTCTAGGGTAAAAACATGCACAGTCCTTGTAATTGCATATACTCAGGCACTTTATTTGCAAATCCACACAGGATACAGCAGAAAATGAAAAACAAAAGTAACAGAAAACCCTATAAACAAACACCTAGCTCGTCTGAGCACTAACTGACATTAGTTCCCTATCTCTCAGGGTTAAACTAAACACAATTTTGCACCAACCTTATTAGTTAGCAACACTCTGCTGCCTAGCCTGTTGCATTCCTTTCTGCACTCCCAGTGCTCCAAGCCAGCCTTGCCCTGACTGCTTTGCTTTCTGCACTCCCAGTGCTCCAAGCCAGCCTTGCCCTGACTGCTTTCCTTTCTGCACTCCAAGTGCCTAGTCTTCTTGACTATATGGAGAGAACAGCCTCTCTCTCCTACCTGCTTCCTGGGAGGAAGCCAGCAATCCCTCTCCTTTTCCTGCCTAGCCGGGAGGAGTTTATTCCCACTGCAACAGCTGATTACCTGCAGCTGAGCAGTGGGTTGGAGACAGTCCAAAAAACCCTGGCCTGGATCTAGGTCTCCCCAGAACACCACTAAACTGTGGAGTGGAGCATTGGCCCACCCTTCTCTCCAAGTGCTCCACCCCAGGGGCCCATAACTAAACAATGCGTTGTGTTGTGCAAAACACAAACTACACATACTCCCCCTGGGGTTAAAAGGCCTATCTGCCTTCACTTTATCACAATATATATATATATTGTATTGTGTGTATGTATATATATATATATATATATATATATATATATGTTTATTATGTATGAGAAGAATTATAATAGAGAATCTAATGAAATAGAGAGAGAAAAAAAAGAAAATGCAATAAGAAACTGCAAAAAATAAAATAAATTAGAAAAAAGGACATGAATAAAGAAATTAAAAGCAATACAAATGCATAAAAATTCTATCTGGACCTCCAACTAAGCACAACTGCTCAATCTGGTACTATTCTTGCCCTTTTTGAGTTTAATATGTAATTTCTTTTGACAAAGCTTAAAAATAATTATTGACAATAAATCTTAAAGTAGGTAATTGATCCTAACATTGTGTTAAGCAGTGAGACTGCAAGAGCATGATCTATACACCAAAACTGCTTCACTAAGCTAATGTTGGAACATAAGTGAGCACTGTGTATGGACATACCTCCAGACATTGGGAGGTATGGAATTGAGATAAAAATGGGCAGGCCTTGTGGGCAACTTCTGTCACTGGCTACACCTACAATGGCTGGATACGCTCCTTTTGCTGGGTTGGCACGCCTCTTTTTATGGGTCCGGGCCTGGCCACTGAAGGGAAGTGTCAACCTGGTGTCCAGCACTTCAGTCTGTGAGACAAACCCCTTGGGTGGCTCCCAACTGTCAAGACCATGCAGACAGTACTGCTGACCGCATTTAATGATACACTTGTGCTGTGCTGTCTATGGACAGTTCCTTGGGGTCCCCTGATCCTGGACACCAGGGAACTAAATCAGGACATTTGGACAGAACCCTAAAGCAGGAACTATACTGCCAAAATCCATCAGTTAGAAGACCTGCACTTTGAGATTATCTTAAAATATGAATATATATATATATATATTAATACATGATACATATATTTTTAAAATGGTCTTTGGCACTATTACTGCATAAGCAGGTGCTTTAGTCTACTGTAATTTTAGTGTGTGACAGCAGAGAAGCTAAATTACCTCTGGGCCTAATGATTCTATTTAAGGTGATCTGTTTAATAAGCTGTTACTAATTCTATCCCTTCTTATGTGGAGTATGCTTAGTATTGAAAGTGCCTGAGTGAATAATTAATGCTAAGCATAGAGTTCTATTTACGTATCTTATCATGTAACCTAGAAAATCTGCAAAAGCATCCTGTACTAGCAGCACGGCTGAAAACAGTCTATCTGCATTTCTTAAAATGTAAAAAGCAAAGCAATTTTTTTCAAGGGCAGGTTTATAAAAGTGTTGTATAAATTCCTTGTGTGTTCAGACCTATCTTCTATTTTAGGTGTCAATGAACGCCAATCAAGTTTACAATGAGACTCAGCTGTCATAAAATAATACACTTATACAACTAACTTTTCCATACATACCATAATATTTAAATCCTGAAAGTGAATAAATATTACTTGGGTAAGGTATTTTAAAAATTTTAAAACAATAAAATCATTTCAATTATTAAATATTAATATTTATATATGAATGATACTCATTGCTATTCTTCATAATAAAATAAGTCCTCATGACTATTTTTTCTCATCATCTTTTATATACTGAGAAACAGTTCATGATTTTAACACCAACCCTGTTATCACTGTATGCATAATGTACTGAATTTAATCACTTGAATCGGTGTCTAAAGGAAAAATATGCATCCATTAATCTGAGAAAATAAATAAAAGCTATTTATCATACTCATTTTAGATAGGAGATTCTTATATAATCTTTGACATGAGCAGTTTAGTGTAAAGTGATACACCACATTTCTTGGTAGAAAAATTAATTATTTCATTCAAATAATATCATGCATAAAACTCTGTACATAAAAAGTAATTATTAAAGCCTATATTGTTTGCTTCAATCTAATCTAATCATCAGAGAGCGAACTACCGCCTAATGATTCTGTGTTATCCAAGTTTATTGTTAAGTATAGCATATGGAGAAAATTATTCTGGTTTATGAATATAGCTTAGATCAAATCAAGAAAACTTTTGATATATAAACACAAATCATGCTGTTATCCTTCCATTATTAAATAATAAAAAAAAAAAAGGAAAAACATAAAATGTGATATGGAGGTGTGAATTTGTGGATGTTATGTGGATACCTAGAAAATGAGAGGGCAAATACAAATGTATAAAGGCCAGCAATACATATATATGTACATCCATAATACACTGATCATCCACGACATTGAAATCGCGGACAGGTGAAGTGAATAGAATTGATTATACACCTGTCAAGGCAGCAAATGAACAGTCAGTTGTTGGATTTCATATGTTGGAAGCAGGAATAATGAAAGTGAAATTATCTGAGTGCTTTTGACAAGGGCCAAATAGTGATGGCTAGAAGTCTTGTGGGGTGTTCCTGATATACAGAGATTAGTACCTACCAAAAGTGATGAAAAGAAGGACACGGTGAA